ATAAAAAAAAAAACGTGGGCTTAATTGTTATTGCAAAAAAGTATAAAAATATAGCAAAAAAATTCATTTTTTTCTTGGATTTCTCGTCAACAACTTAGCAACTATTTGTTTTAGACAAAAATGGAAAAGGAAAAAAGTTTTGTAATTAAATTAAGATAGAGTTAGTTGCAATTCGAAAAAATTATTATTGTTGTTGCAAAAATCGGAAAAATCATTTAAAAAATTGCAAAACATGCTAGTTTATTTGTAAATTTTTTTCAGACACTTGAATAATACCTAGGATCTTCATACTTTTCCCAATTAAACTTCTTAGTGCATAGAATCATCACACCAAATTTCATCCAATTCGGTTCGATAGTTTTTACATAATAATTGTTTAAATTTTTTATTTTTTTTAAATTAAAAAATTTTCAAAATCAAATTTCTAAAAATCTAAAGCCTTTGAATACTTGAAAATTTCACCACAAAAAGAAGAGCTCTCAAGCTTTAAAATGCTTTTTGAAAAATTCAAATCGGACGATTAGGTGAGCCGTGGTGATTGTTTAAACATTTTCGCAATTTTCACGCTTATAAACAATTGCAATAATTTAATGTTTTTTCAAATTTTTTTTTATTTTAAAATATGGTTTGAAAGTACTCGGAAAGGCGAGTATTTAAAAAAAAACCTGATGATCCGCCCATTATTTTCGGAGTTATAGCCCGTTAAAGTTAACCCTTATTTACAGCAAAACTATAAGGGCTGTTTTTTGAACCAATAGGTTTGTTATTCCGAGTACTTTCCAGATATAAATTTTCAAAATTTGCAATCACGGGCGTCCCATTTAAAATGTCACTCAAAGATATTCAAGACCGCGTGAAATCAATGAGGTATCAGTGGTGGGGGGAGCAAACACACAGCTACTCCGATCTGAATTCTCGAGTTCAAAATTGCGACACTCGGAAAAATTTCACTTATCTCAGCGTCTAATGGACCAATTTCGATGATTTTTTTTTAAATCGATGTCTCGCAACTAAAAAATTCAATTATCATATTTTCAACTACATTTTATTATTAATTATTGGACTTTTGACATGCCGATAAACAGTTACTTTAAAAAATGATTAATTTATTATGTTTATTTATTTACTATGTTAATTTTCACGACCAAAATTTTTGCATGTTGCACCATGTTGTTGGTATTAATTAAGTATCCAAAAGATTCTTATACTTTTTTTTATAAATAAAAAATAAATTTTAGATAAATATTTTAAAAGTAAACGAAAAAATTAAAATTATAATTATTCACAATTTATGTGAGTAATAATTTTTGAAAGACATTTAGAAATTTATCGTACAACTAAAAATTAATACCAATTTTCAGTTGTTTATTTAAATAATTATTGTTTAAACAATTTTATAATATTTAAACAAACTTACTAGTGTTACCAAAAATTTGAAAAAAACATTAAATTATTGCAATTGTTTATAAGCGTGAAAATTGCGAAAATGTTTAAACAATCACCACGGCTCACCTAATCGTCCGATTTGAATTTTTCAAAAAGCATTTTAAAGCTTGAGAGCTCTTCTTTTTGTGGTGAAATTTTCAAGTATTCAAAGGCTTTAGATTTTTAGAAATTTGATTTTGAAAATTTTTTAATTTAAAAAAAATAAAAAAAATTAAACAATTATTATGTAAAAACTATCGAACCGAATTGGATGAAATTTGGTGTGATGATTCTATGCACTAAGAAGTTTAATTGGGAAAAGTATGAAGATCCTAGGTATTATTCAAGTGTCTGAAAAAAATTGACAAATAAACTAGCATTTTTTGCAATTTTTTAAATGATTTTTCCGATTTTTGCAACAACAATAATTATTTTTTCGAATTGCAACTAACTCTATCTTGTTCAAAATTTAATTACAAAACTTTTTTTCCTCTTCCATTTTTGTCTAAAATGAATAGTTGCTAAGTTGTCGACGAGAAATCCAAGAAAAAAATGAATTTTTTTGCTATTTTTTTATACTTTTTTGCAATAACAATTAAGCCCACGTTTTTTTTTATTTGCATAGAAAAATTATCATTTCTGATGTTATTTAGAAGCCGTTAAAGCAAAAATCTCCGATCATATGCGTTTTACCCAAGTACACCCTTTGTAAGACAGATACCGCCTGGACTAAAAAGTGCATTTCCCCCCCCTATCTTCAATTTCAACCCTCTAATTTAATAGCAGCCCGCGGTTTTTCATTTTCAATGACCCTTGGAACAAGTCATAATTATGATGAAAATCTTTGAACGTCTTATTTCTTTCCTTTTTTGCAAAAAATGAGAATAGAAACGTATAAGAAGGCGAAGAATATCGAAAAATTGGCTAAGTTTGAGCGGCCATATATTAGTCAATTTTCATCCAAAAATAATTTACAACCTCTTATTTTGAAGGAAATTTTATCTACTTTTTTTTATGAAGCAATGCCTATACCTATCTTTACTCAAAAAAAACTAGAGGCAAAAAAGTAAAAAAAATAAAAAAATCGAATTTTGCTTTTTTTTCCAAATTGTTTATTAACGATTTTTTGCATAAAGTTTTACTTTTAAATTTTTTAAATAAGCCACATCGATGGGAAATTCAATTTTCTAAATAATTTTTCCTATGAACTATAGCGAAATTTTGCTTCGTTTTCGAGCTACAACTAAAAAACTGAAAGGGGTGCACCTTCACCGCTATCTCCAATTTACACCCTCTAATTTAATAGCACTCCGCGGTTTTTTCATCTAAAATGACCATTTGAACGATTCATGCAATAAAATTGCTGGAACGTCATAGTTCCTTTAAACCCATTTTTTTTTAATATAATCAATAGCCTAATTTGCATAAGACATATTTGACTGAATCGACTTATTTTGGACACTAGTATCTCCAGCTTCAATATTTCCCAACCTTTAGCACACTCTGTATATATTATCGATTTTCAACAAATTTTTATTATTTTTTTGGGTTTGTAGTCATTATGTTTAAAAAAATTTTATTTTTATCATATTTTCACTTTAATTATACCCCTCGAACTATCCACATTCACGCCATTGCTATTTGGAATAAAATGATTTGTACGTTTTTCTTAAGATGAGGCAATTGATATTTATTCGTACACAAATGTAATCTTTATCCGATTTAAAGATAATTAGGAAAAACTTCTCCAAATTAATAACTTTAACACCTTGTATCGCTAAAACACCTATTATGTTTCCAAAAGGAACTCTACTCGTTATTGTCAAGTATAAACGGGACATCCTGTATATACCACCAGGAACAAAGCCACTTTAATTTGAAATTGACCTGGCTTGTATAACTGGTTGTCTATATAAAAGGTAGGGCGGCGGCGGTCGCTGGTCAAAATAATCAACCTACAATTCAAANAGATTTTCGTTGTTTTTAACATTATAATGATTATAATTCTTATTATTTTTACAACAAATTGGTTCTTTACTTAATAACAAATTATTTCAAAAGTTTTATTTGTTAATAATAAACAAAGATTTTCACAACTTAGTCAAAAAAGTAGAAAATATCAGAAAATCTTTTTTTGCTTTTTTAAAATTGTTTATTAACGATTTTTAGCATAAAATTTTTCTTTTCAATTTTTTAAATAAGCCATTTCGATGGGAAATTCAATTCTCTACAGAATTTTTCCCATGAACTATACCAAAATTTTGCTTCGTTTTCGTGCTATATTTAAAAAACCGCAAAAGTGCAATTTCAACCCTCTAATTTAATAGCACCCCTCGGTTTTTTCATTTTTAATGACCCTTCGAACAAGTCACGTGATCAAAATCCTTGAACGTCTTATTTCCTTCCTTTTTTGCAAAAAATGAGAATTAAAACGTATAAGGATAAACGCGACGAAAAATACTTTAGAACCTATTATTTTGAAGGAAATTTTATCTACTTTTTTTTATAAAGCAATGCCTATACCTATCTTTACTCAAAAAAAAAACTAAAGACAAAAATGTAAAAAAAAATAAAAAAAATCGAATTTTTTGCTTTTTTCAAACTGTTTGTTAACGATTGTTGGCATAAAATATTCCTTTTAAATTTTTTAAATAAGCCATTTCGATGGGAAATTCAATTCTCTCAATAAATTTTCCTATGAACTATAGCGAAATTTTGCTTCGTTTTACAGCTACTATTAAAAAACTGAAAGGGATGCATTTTCACCCCCATCTCCAATTTCCACCCTCTAATTTAATAGCACTCCGCGGTTTTTTCATCTAAAATGACCCATTGAACGATTCATGATTCCTGCAATAAAATTGCTTGAACGTCCTTTTAACCCTATTCATTTGGATATAATTAATAGTCTAATTTGCATAAGGCATATTAGACTCAATTGATTTATTTTGGCCACCAGTATCTCCAGTTTCAAGGTTTCCCAACCTTTCGCAGTCACCTTGTATATATTATCAATTTTCAACAATTTTCACTTTAACTATACCCCTACGGACTATCCACATTCACGCCATTGCTATTTGGAATAAATGATTTGTACGTTTTTCTTAAGATGAGGCAATTGATATTTATTCGTACACAAATGTAATCTTTATCCGATTTAAAAATTATTAGGAAAAACTTCTCCAAATTAATAACTTTAACGTCTTGTATCGCTAAAACACCTATTATATTTCCAAAAGGAACTCTACTCGTTATTGTCAAGTATAAACGGGACACCCTGTATATACCACCAGGAACAAAGCCACTTTAATTTGAAATTGACCTGGCTTGTATAACTGGTTGTCTATATAAAAGGTAGGGCGGCGGCGGTCGCTGGTCAAAATAATCAACCTACAATTCAAAACACCAGGCATAATATTAGTCATGTGATTAACAGATCAGCTGAGTGATATACGTATTCTATTAACAATTGTTATTATTATTATCGTGGTTGGCGTTTTTGGAGATCCCCTGGCCACGTGATTGGATATTATCCTGATTCGATAGCGCGTCGCGAGATGTCGCGGGCGGCGCTGTCATTTTTGTAATGGATCAGTTGGTGGTAAGCTGGTCGCCTTTCATCCGTCTGAGAGACTCGTGCGCTGTGTGAATCGCTGTGGGACAATGACAACGGCCTAAATTTCCGTGTGCTGGTGCCTGCGTAAAAAACTGAGTAAAAATGAGCTTGTGATGTGCTGGTTTATTGGTGTTATATAATGCACTCTCTATTAATCACTGGACGATTGTTATCACGAGCAATTTGGAATGGAATCGCGAACATTTCATCTGCCTCAGACCCGAATATTCAAAGAAAAACTGACCCGTACCTAGTGTCGGCCGTCTGTGGCTTTTCAAAGGAGAGAAAAATCCAAAGACTGATCAAGGGACAGTTCGGCGACGATGCCTGGTTCACTGCGAAATATAAATCCGCTGATGTATTGGGTGAGTGTGGTGGAAACCTAACCTAACCTTTGAACGCTGCATGACGTTCCTTCATATCTTTAAAAACACTTTTGCATAATAATAAGCCTGGCTCGTGCAACACTGAGGTTTCTCTTATTTTTAGACGCCGTTTCGTAACTTTACAGCGACTCATTCATTCTTTTAATGAGGAAAATTCAAACAGCCTTGACATTGAGTTTATTTTTTCAAGGAAACAGCTGCATTTATTTCGATGTGCACAACGTTTGCTTAACACTAAACTGCTTACCCAAATACCCATTTAAGAATGTTTATTTACATACGTTTATTGAATACCCTAAGATTCTTTTCGTGGAAGTTATTTTTTTTATTTCACATTTAAAATTGTATTAATAACTGTGAAAGGATAATAATGTAATAAAAAGTAGGTAACATTAAAAAAGCATGTTTATATTTTTTTATACGCTTACGAAATAGTCAGTTTTTCCTGTAGAGATTAGTTTCCGAGAATTAACAAGAAATTAAATACGCGAATTGTCATGTGATAATAATTCTCGTATATACCTTGTCAATAACCAGAAAAGTAAATAAATATAATTTGCGCTTTACCTAGATATTCGATGTTTGCGGATCAACACAATAATTTGGCCTTGTTCCAGTTTATTCTTTTAATTATTAAATAACTCGAATATAACTGCACAAGGAAGGTTTATTTTTGTAATTATTGTCACCTCAAAAAATAAATAGGTTATGTATTGCATTAGATTAAGGTATATTAACCTCGTATCAAAATTGCGATATCTTGACGTTTTTTTTTTTTACTACAGGTTTATTAGATATAAAATTTCGTTATAATTGAATAGATACAGGATAAATACGTAAAAAAACTGTAAGAGGCTATTCCTTAAACTTCTAACCACGTTATAATCACAAATTTATTTTGGTGCAACAAAATATCTTGTTTTTAGTAATATTTTACCCCAACTCCATTTATTTAATATTTTTCCTTTTTCTTTGCCATTAGAAATCATCCAAATCGAAAATATTATAACTTAAGATTTAAGTCATTTTCTAGAAAACAGCTGAAGGCAAAAATTAATTTTAATGTAACAAAATAGCAACAAAAAGTAACAAAATCTTTAATCTGCTAAGCTAAAAGTGGCCCGATAATTTTATATACGTCTTTTTGGAATACGAGTAGTTCAACACACTCTTTTTACGAAGAAGTCATTAGATGTATTGATGCAGGCGAGTGCCCTGTCGGGATTTTATGTGATCTTAGTAGGGCATTCGACTGCGTTAATCACGATAATTTACTTACCAAACTTTATGATTATGGCATAAGAGGTGTTCCGTTGAACTGGTTACTGTGTTTTTTAAAATTTCGGAAACAATATGTCTCTATACAACACATGAATTCCGATACTNGATAATAATTCTCGTATATACCTTCTCAGTAACCAGAAAAGTAAATAAATATAATTTGCGCTTTACCTAGATATTCGATGTTTGCGGATCAACACAATAATTTGGCCTTGTTCCAGTTTATTCTTTTAATTATTAAATAACTCGAATATAACTGCACAAGGAAGGTTTATTTTTGTAATTATTGTCACCTCAAATAATAAATAGGTTATGTATTGCATTAGATTAAGGTATATTAACCTCGTATCAAAATTGCGATATCTTGACGTTTTTTTTTTTTACTACAGGTTTATTAGATATAAAATTTCGTTATAATTGAATAGATACAGGATAAATACGTAAAAAAACTGTAAGAGGCTATTCCTTAAACTTCTAACCACGTTATAATCACAAATTTATTTTGGTGCAACAAAATGTCTTGTTTTTAGTAATATTTTACCCCAACTCCATTTATTTGATATTTTTCCTTTTTCTTTGCCATTAGAAATCGTCCAAATCGAAAATATTATAATTTAAGTCATTTTCAGTTTAATGTTATACTAAAAAAACGCATGTTCAGTTACAAGTTGTAAGCTTTTGTGAAAGAAAAGTAAATCGTCATTAATGAAATACCTAAATGTCTACTCCTTTTTTAAAAAACGTCATAAAGTTAAACGACCTCAATCAGGGACTAGGAAGCGTGGCATCGATTAGTGATATTCTAAGAATTTGTGCAAAAAATAAATCGCTAGTAGTTTTTTTGACCTAGGAATAACTTCAGTAATAGTTCATTCAAATATAGTCATCTCAAAGATTGGTACAAATATACACTAGTCACAAAAATTAAACAGTAAAAAGAAATCCTAAATTTTCAGGTAATTTTGAAAAGGCTGTAACATTTTTTGATGAAAAAATATGTTTTTTTGCGAAAAAACATTTTCAATTTAAAAAAATAATAAAAGATGCCAAAGTAATCCTTCAATTTTTAGCAAATTGTGACAGTTTCAGTCATTCGGATCACAATGAAAGAAAAATCGGAGCGTTTTGAATTTTTGAAGGTTTCTTTGGGATGTAATTAATTATCGAAGCCAATAAGGTCATTTTTTATATGAATTATGATAACTCGACGACAAGTCATCATGCGGAGCTCTTCAACACCTCAAATTAGAGAGCATTAGTCAAATTAAAAGAGTTGACAGGTGGGATTGTTAAAAAAATTATTGATCCCTTGGACCATTTGAAAGGGAAGCAAATATTTTGAAAAAAAAATCTGCTCAATTTCTTATATTTTTTCAAAGGTGGTCGACGATACAAATTTTTGACTTTCAGATTCTAAAACTAGGAACTTCAAGCTTCAATTTGCTTTTTTGTAATTACTCTACGACCATTTTTCCTCAAGTTTCAGCCAACCAAAAGTTTTTTCTTCCTTAATTTTTTTTTGACTAGTTCATGTTCTCAAAACTGTGTAGATGCGCCAGATTCTACAATTACTTTTTAATAATTTATAACATGGTATAATGTTATGCTATTAATTGGTGTAGGACGATAATTTTATATACTACTTATATGTACTATATCAAAGAAAATACAAGTAACTGCTCAAGTAATTTAAAAATATTGTATTACACTTTGCATTTAAAAATGGTTTAAAGCGATGGTTTAACAAAGTAATTATTAATCTAAGAATTTGTCTTTCGTTACGAGGAAAACAATTGTTAATTATCGCCATTAGCTGAATGAATAACTGTAGCTAATTTAGTTTAAATTTAAAAAGCAATTAAAGTTAAACGACACATATCAGGGACAAGGAAAGTGGTTTTGGAAGGTCGAAATCTGGTATCGTTTTAATAAAAGTTCCCACAATAACATTTAAGATAGGTATACTTATAGATCATTTTTTTCGTNGGGTGAGTTTTTTGCTTCCTAGGTTAAGTTACATTTGTTTTTACTTTAAATATCTGCTATACGTATAGGTGACTATTGTTATACAATTTGTAATTGTCTCAAAACAAAATAAAACATCTAATCTAATCTAATCTAATCAAGGGTTATTTTAGTTATTTTTCAATTTGTGGAGTGTTGTGAGAGTGGGCTGACGTTTTTAAACATTAATAAACTAGTAAAATGGTTCGTTTTTAAAGTAAAATGTTTGATATCTCTTTTCTTCGAACTCCACAAGGTGTTACAGGTAGCAACCGCACTTTCGCCACATCCTGTGGTGTCGAATTTATGGAATTTTCAATGAGAACGACTTCTGGTATTTTTTTTTTAATTAGATTGCCGGAGTTTTATCAATCTGCATTAAATGTCTCCAGATATTTTACTTAGAGGTGATTTTTTTTAATTTAATTTCATTACCATGTCTCTCAAAAACCTTTGATTTGCAAGTTAGCGTTGTTGCCGAGGAACATTGAATAAAAAAAAGTCATCAAAATCAAATTTGGTTGCTAGAAAAGCATAAAAATTATCTGAACTACAGAAACTTCTTCGTCTTGGGAAAGTTTAATGTTATACCAAAAAAACGCATGTTCAGTTACAAGCAAGTTGTAAGCTTTTGCGGAAGAAAAGTAAATCGTCATTAATGAAATACCTAAATGTCTGCACCTTTTTTAAAAAACGTCATAAAGTTAAACGACCTCAGTCAGGGACTAGGAAGCGTGGCATCGATTAGTGATATTCTAAGAATTTGTGCAAAAAATAAATCGCTAGTAGTTTTTTTGACCTAGGAATAACTTCAGTAATAGTTCATTCAAATATAGTCATCTCAAAGATTGGTACAAATATACACTAGTCACAAAAATTAAACAGTAAAAAGAAATCCTAAATTTTCAGGTAATTTTGAAAAGGCTGTAACATTTTTTGATGAAAAAATATGTTTTTTTGCGAAAAAACATTTTCAATTTAAAAAAATAATAAAAGATGCCAAAGTAATCCTTCAATTTTTAGCAAAAGTGACAGTTTCAGTCATTCGGACCACAATGAAAGAAAAATCGTAGCGTTTTGAATTTTTGAAGGTTTCTTTGGGATGTAATTAATTATCGAAGCCAATAAGGTCATTTTTTATATGAATTATGATAACTCGACGACAAGTCATCATGCGGAGCTCTTCAACACCTCAAATTAGAGAGCATTAGTCAAATTAAAAGAGTTGACAGGTGGGATTGTTAAAAAAATTATTGATCCCTTGGACCATTTGAAAGGGAAGCAAATATTTAGAAAAAAAAATCTGCTCAATTTCTTATATTTTTTCAAAGGTCGTCGACGATACAAATTTTTGACTTTCAGATTCTAAAACTAGGAACTTCAAGCTTCAATTTGCTTTTTTGTAATTACTCTACGACCATTTTTCCTCAAGTTTCAGCCAACCAAAAGTTTTTTCTTCCTTAATTTTTTTTTGACTAGTTCATGTTCTCAAAACTGTGTAGATGCGCCAGATTCTACAATTACTTTTTAATAATTTATAACATGGTATAATGTTATGCTATTAATTGGTGTAGGACGATAATTTTATATACTACTTATATGTACTATATCAAAGAAAATACAAGTAACTGCTCAAGTAATTTAAAAATATTGTATTACACTTTGCATTTAAAAATGGTTTAAAGCGATGGTTT